ATGACCAGTAGGGGAAAAAAAAAAAAAAAAAGCTGTCCTCCATACTCCCTGGATTGTTGCCAATATAAGTTAAATGTTGTTCTAGACATACTAGAAATATGCTTGATTATGCACTAAATGCTGAGATTTGCAACAGCTGCTTTTAGCTACCAGCACAGCAAAACTATTAGAAAAATGCTGCCATTCTTCAACAATTACAAAAGAGAATGGCAGCATTGCTTTTGTGGCCATGGCTGCTTCTGACAGCTGAGAGAAATATATATGTTCAGGGTGATGTCTAGAATGCAAAACAGGAATAAAGTGTGTTTCCCTGATTGTGTCTAGTGTTCAAGATATTGATGGAGCCAGCAAGCTTGTGTTATTATCAGGGCTGCACAGCCATGAATACATAAACTGGAAACTGACTTTTCCAAGTAAAATATGTCTTTCTTACATTACTTTTGTGGGAGTCAGCGTCCAGAGTATATATTCAAAACTTATTATTAGTAATATTTCTATAAAAGATAAGCCCCAAAAGGGCAATGTCAGCATCTCTCTTTACAAATGCACATGTCTTCTGAGCACTGGAGTTTTGCTGAAACTACTGGTGGTAGGTCGGAGGAATATTTATTGAGACACGGAATCTCCTGATCTGAATTGCAATGTAGTGCTGCAGTGAGCCATAAATTCACTTTTTTATTTTTTTTTTCTTAAACTTAAAAAAAACCCCAAACCCACAAATATGAAATGTGTTGATTAGATTTTCACTTGAATTCTGATAAGAAGATGGATGCTGTTTGGGTTGCCATGGTGTTATTTTTGGAATTGTTTAGAAAGAATATTGCACAAAGTAGTTAGTTTCTATGCCAGCAGCTGTGCTTTTCCTTCCCCCTACCCATAAAAAAGTATTTTCACAATCATCTAATTTCTTTCAAAAGTACTAAATCATGCATATGGAAAGAGAGAGGTTGTACAGCAAGATGATGCCAATTCTTATGAGTCAGTAAGGAAATCATGTCTTTCCTCACCATGAAGTAGATGAAACTACCTTTAGTAGTCCATTACAAAAAGTAATTCCATGAAAATTCACATACAATGTCACATACTCATTTTCTACTTACAAAAGACAGGAAAAAGGTGAACAACAAAAATTACAAAATCAGAGCCCTAAATTTCAAAGGAGAAGAGTTGAGGTTGAAATCTGCTTCACAGGATCACCAAGGAATTGATATCTTTGTTATTGGAGAAATTAAAATTTGGCAGGATAGGGCCTGGGTCACCTGCTCTGACTGAACGTCTGATCTCTGCAGAGTGGAGAGATGCTCCAGCCAGAGCCCATGGAATACTTGAAGTCCTGCTATCATTTCAGCATTCTTTCCTTTCTTAATTAACTTTTAAAACTTACTGCTCCCTTCCAGCCTTCTTTTACCCTTCGAAGCCTCAAAGCAGGCAAACCTCACTTCCTGTGTAAAACAATGCACTGCTACCACTTTACTGAATTTTGGCATTTGTAACCAGACTTAATGGGACTTGCAAACATAATGTAAGCTGTTCTTAATGAGAAAAGACGTAACATATCATCATCTCATCTCTAATTTGTCTTTGCAATGCTATTGACCGTGCATTATTTTTTCTGAGAATCGTGTCTAAATAAGTCTGCTCTGTTATTCTCATAGCATTGAATCATCTAATTTTCCTTTACAATGAAATAACCATTTTATGTAGTCCCAGCCGAGTTTTGTGTATTCTTTGTCATGCTCTTCAGGTCAACAAACTAAACATAAAAAACTCAGATTTCATGCTTGATTACTTTGAAAGACAGCAATAGCTCCACAGAGAGCAAGATATCCCACCCCACCTACACTTTGATGAAGGTAAAAGTTGTTTTCAGGTTGAAATAGTACAAAGGGTCAGTTTTCTTAATCTTTTATAAGAAAACAAAAAAACAAACAAAAAACACCAGAAAAGATAATTAACTAAATTATCTGTTTCAAAATTTTGGAGGGTCTAAACTCTAAAGTAATTTTTTCAACAAATTTTGACATTCATAAGCAATTTGAAAATCTCAAAACAGGTATTAGATTGTTTTGAAATTTCTTTCTAGTACTCCTTGGATGGGAAGAGATTTCATCAATATTGCTCTTCTTTCAAAGATTCTTTTTATTTTTGCAAAATAGCATTTTTACCAATGAGAGACTGTCAGGAAAAAAAATGGTAATCGTTCTAGAAGTCAAATCAATATTTCATAAACATTTCTGTTATGGTATAAACTCAGATGTTCTACAGTTCCTTCTGGTTATTCTGATATGAGCAACAAGGCTTTTATTAGTGCTATTTCTGCCAGTTTTACCAACAAGTTATAGATCTTAGGCTCCATTCTATTTGCACGTTTTGATGAATCTCCTTTAGTTTTAGCTAGAGTAAAAATCAGGTGAGTATGCTTGGTGTGATTTACAGTATTAGTCCTCAATACCACTTGTATTTTTTCAAAGAAAACATAACCTTTAAAATTCCATACGTTTCTTGAGCTGTGTGAATGGTTTAACATTATTTTTTTCTCTTTCTAAAACATAAATTACAAAAGCACATCATTCTTTTTTTTTTTTTGGCATTTTAAAATGCCTTACATCAAATATGTGTTGTTTGCACATAAAAGATTAAAAATATATTTAAATGTTGACTATCATATAAGGTATTTCCAAAACAAGAGAAATATTGTATCTTTTCTGTTCATTTCATTACTCCTTGTAGTAATGTAAGTATATATTTTAATTAAAATGTCACGAACTATAGTTAATGTGATCCTTCCTCATTACCTTTGTGCATTAAAGATTTACAGCTCTAGTGCCCTGCATTATTGCCTGGAAAAATATAATTTGATTTTAGTCTACTTTTAAAAATACATTGGTTTCATGCTTTGCAATAAAATAGAAAGCTTGTTAGATACAAAGAGCAATGCTTGATAATACTGAGAGGATAAGAAACCAATTTCAGAAAACCCATTTAGAACATTAAGCATGCATTTAAATAAGTGAATGACTGGAGGCATATTAAAGAAATACAAACCAGCATGCCAGATCGCTCATAAAAATATAAGCTTTACATATTATTTGTTAGTTGAAAAAGATCTGACAGTGAGTTAATATAGTTGAAAATGCTGTCAGTATGAAATGGATTCTCTTTCATATTCAGTGCCAGCTATTTATTAGACTTTGTATGTCTCCCTAAATAAAACTTAGTTTTTAACTCAACATTTCTTCCTCCTTTTGTGTAAAAAGGTTGGACTACCTGGAGCCAGGTAGGTACCTAGGAATATCTACACTAATAATCAGTTTGTGCAGGGTTCATCAAGCACCTTTGTTGGTGGCAGAATTTTCAGGCAGTTTGATGGCCGGTGTCTGCTTCCTTCACGTTGCATCGTCACATTTTTGAGTGAGGAGTTATAGCTATGGATTCAGCTGTGGTGTTTATTTTTATTCATTCGCTTATTATTTGCTAATATTTTCTTTCTTTGGAAGTTGATTTTAAAGAAACTTGCTGTCAGCTTAAAAACATGGTGAGCCCATTAAGTGTAAAAAGTGATTGATAATCATATAACACTTAAATTTCTGTGTTTTCCTCAAGAGACAGAACATCTCTTGGAATAGCTTTTCATTCTCTATTGCTCAATAAACCATAACAGGAGTAGTCTGATGCTGCCATCACGCAGCAAGTGTTTTTACAATGGTAGTAGCAAAGCTTCCAGTGCCATTTTCAGTCCTCATTTGACAAGATTACATGGGCTGGGCACTGAAAAAATTATCCTCCAAACAGTTAACCTTCACTGTTACTTTCCTGCCTAAGTCACAGGAACTTTCATGTGGAACACCTCTCAGTGAGGTACTCCCAGAACTAAACTTCAACAAGTCCATTAAGGTCCATTTCCAATTCTGAACATTCTTTAAATCTTGCCAATTTTCATTGCAGAAAAAGTAGCAGTCTTAAAGCTCTTACAGTATTCAATGGATATTCTTGAAAAAATGTCAAATAACCTCCAAATACACAATGCTGCTTAAAACAGGAATGGTGGCGATAACACACATCACTGTGCTGTTTCTCATGTAAGCAACCTTCACTCCAAATCAGCTCTGCAAATTCCAGCACTGAATTGCACAGAAGATCATAGAAAACAATTTTTCAAAGCTGATGGAAAAGCCTAACAATGTGGCACTTTGTTTTGCTGAAGATTATAGTTGAAAACTATTTTAATTATGGGGCAGTGAGGCAATGCAAATAAATAGATTAGCAACCAGCAGGAGAAACAAGACATTTCTGCAGTCTGTTGCCATTTACAGTGAGTTTTCTGCTTTCATGTGCATTTATTTTTCTCCATTGGTCTGGTAATGTAAAGAAAACTGGTGTATTGTTTTGGCTGAAAACAAAGTGACAAGGAGTATTTCTTCCACTGTACTTCTATTTCTTACTGAGCTGTATTGGGAGGGCAAGGGTTCTCAAGTCTGGATTTTGAAGACAACTACCTGAACTAAACCTAATTTCATTCTACAGTAGGAATAAGAATTCCAGCTTTAGGAGACTACAGTGCAGTTGGTTCACTTGATCTTACTGAAGATTCATGAGTTGACTGACCAAACATTTATTTTAAAGGCAACTCCCATATTTTACTTTCCTGGTTGTCTACTTTTTTGCAAAGTTGTGGGCTATAATCCTTTTTCAAAATTTATATTGAGTTCTCCTAAACCTGCATGTGTTATAGAAAAAGTTTTTGCAAATAATGAATGCATCATAAACTATTTATAAGTATCTTCTGACAGTGGATACCTTTCTCTTTCTACCCTTTTATGCCTCAGCTATTATTTAGATGATTGCTAGTATGGAGCTGAAGAATTAACAGTTTTATTCTCATCTTTTTTCCAGTGGAACAAGAATTGCAACAGAATACACTAGCAACTGGACTAATGTGTCAGAAATATCCCTGATCTCTGCTCTATGACAAAAATTTGATTACCTGTGTTTCTTTGCAGGAGCATATGTGCTTCAAGTAAAAGCGACAGATGCTGATGATCCCACTTATGGAAACAGTGCTAGAGTGGTTTACAGCATTCTTCAGGGGCAACCATATTTCTCCATTGATCCCAAGACAGGTAAATAGTTTATCAGCAACAGCAGAAGATTTAAGCTTTGGTTTTTTTGATTCATGTAGGCAGTATCAATGAATAAATATGGACCTGGTTGATATGGCCAAAATCCAGGACAGCAGTTTTCCACGATTCAGTTTTGAGTATGGACTAGATTTTTATGAATAACAATGCTTTGTAGAAACAAAAGAAACAATCCTCCAATCAGTCCTAGAATAACTAAAATATGTCTACATTGAATTAATATTTTTTCAGTGCTTTACCATTTCCCTGTAGACAAAGCTTTATCTTCTACATGTATTGTTTTATTTATTTATTTTTCCTAATGATTGAGTTTTGTAACTTGGGTCTTCTCAGAATTTTTACTTGCTGAACATACAGTCAGAAATTTTCCAGCAATTATTGTTTTGTTATATTGAACTAATTTGAGACTGTGGAACAGCTAATCATCTCCTTCCCTCCTCTTTTCCTAGGGCATATTATCTTTGTCTGGGGTTACTGGATGTGTGAGCAGAAAAAGATAATATGTTTAAAGAAATGGAAGTATTTGGGAGGTTGGTAGACATGTTAATTGGGTATCTTGTCCTATATTTCTAAATGTCATTCTTGATTCTATATTTAGTAATTCAATTGAGGAAGTGATAACATACATGGTGAATGACACACATTGTGGCATCCTGAGTGTGCTACAGGGAAAGCTATCCATATGCTCCTTCCAGCAAATAGTTTCACCTACCAGTGTAGCTGTACTTGAATGTCAGATTCACGGCCTTTAGCCCTAATGGTGGAGAGTTGTAAGGCTGTGAGCACATCTCCAATGTACACATGCCTTTGTTCCATGCTCCATTTAGCAGGAGATCATACTGCAATTTGCAGTGAAAAATTTTACTTTTCAAACTGAAATGGAACTTCTTCAGGTGTCTGGGGAGAAAAAGTAGTTGCCTTGATATTTAATTTTTCATTACAGTTTTGTAAAGAATGGGTATAAATTCAGTGGCAAGAAAAATCTTTATTGGAGCCAAAATTGGAGTTTTAGTACAAGTTTCACAAGAGAAAAAGAATAGTTAGTAGAACATAGAAGGACTATTTTTCCCATGGCACTTTGAATGGCTGTGTCATATGTTCTTCATCTGTTAATCAGTATTGAGTCAACCATGGGCAATGGCCTGTACCCTATAGCCCTGGAACATACAAACCTGGCTATTACCTTAAATGAGTTATTCATGTGCTAAAAGAATGGACACAGCTGTAGAGGAAGATTGGTGAAGCAATAGCCCAGCGTAGTTCAAAATCCTATACCAGAAAAAAGCATATAGATTCATGTTTGTACGAGCACCAATAATATGCTGTAATGTGTCTTACGTTAGAAAGTTCACACTGAGAATTACTCATGAATCAAACAATGACTCCAGAGTATGTGAATAACAGTAATTAACTCTAAACAGTGTGTGAATAACACTGCACAGGATGGTGCTTAATGATTTGTTCTAAAATCCACAAGTCCGAGGGAGTATTACAGATCTGGTCTTCCCAATTCTTTATTTTATAACTGAGGAGTTTATGCAGTAGTTTTTCACTGCAGAACTTTACTGCCAGAAATCTGTCCTGAGTGCTTTTGACAGGAAAAGGGAAAAAATCCATTTTGGTACAATGACAAATTCAGAACTGCCAGCAGATGAATAAGCATTTTTTGTGTTGTTGTTGGCTTTTTTTGCCATCTCTTGCATTCCAGAAACAATTTTGAGACATAATCTTGTAGTTATTTAAAGAACCCAAGAACATCTGTACTAAGTTTCTACCCTGTATTATGTTTCCAAAAGTGATGACCTGCTTAGCTATATTGAGGGATGAAGAGTAAGTGTTTAGTGATGCACCCCTGGAATACTCCACTAGTTCTCAAAGAACTTGCCCTTACAAAGTTCCTGGGTGACTTGCAGGGTAAAAATAGGTAAAAGTCTGAAAGTATTTCTCCCCCACAACTTTTCCACTTCCCAGTAGATTTAACTTGTCCAGGAGTACAGTAGCTGCATACCCACTAACAAGAAATTCTGCAGCAAATGTTTATTTGATTGAGAACCAGCTCCTCTTGCTCTTTTACTTGTAAGAAGGGGCACCTCTTAATTTGTTTCATACCTCACTCATTGCATAAGACAGTGAACAGTTGATTTCTGTTTATATTCTCCCTGAATCAACTCTTTTATAGATTGAAGACTTCTTTAAACAGAAGCCATTCCATAGCAATAATCATCCTTCTCCTCCTCAGGGGGAGAAAGTGCACACAGTATTCAGGACGGCAGCTGATATGTACGGATACAGTTTAATAGCACTTCTGTTCTCTATTCCTTCCCAAACAGTTCCAGACATTGTTTGTTTATTTAGCTTCTACCTCACAGATGTTGAAATGTTTGTGGAAATTTCTGTTACTAGCTCAAGATCCCATTGCAAAGTAGTAACAGTGAAACCAGTGACCATAACTTTATGTGTGAAATAAGGATTGTGTTTGCCAAAGACATGACTTTGCAATATACTCCTTCCTCAAATCCCTCCGAATAGTTGTTACGCATTTACTCTGATATGAAACTGGTAAACTTAAATAGTTTTTAAGCTCCATGGGTCTGAATGTCATAACTGCCCCTTTTATTCCTTGTTTTTATTGACCTCCTAATCTTTATCCATCTTTTTGTTGGAGATAAGCAAGCATGTGGAAGTGGGAGAGTTAGCTTTTATTGCTATTTCAGGGAGGTTAAATGGATTACAGTACCTTCTGGACAGCAACTGTTTGAATGCCATATTCTAAGGCCTCAAATCTTATATGTGGGTACTTTTAAATGCTATGAAATCACTCTTCTGATTTTACTGTGAGAGGGTTTTTTTTAAACTCTTTTAAATGAGAACTTCTCTTAGATAACCTCTTTTCTCTTTCCTCTGTATATTGTCTTTTCTTATGAAAATGTCCATTTCCACCATTAAAATTTCCTTTCCACCCAATTTTCTGATATTTATGAGGTAAATATTCTTATTTATGGCTAGATGTAACCAGGTTTTTTTAGACTTGGTATTCTAGTCCATCTTCTGACTTCAGTTCTATTATTGAAATCCAAATTGGCATCAGCAGGAGTACTGATGTTAATACTTATGCAGGAGTTTTTTCTTGGTACCTGTGTTTTCTCTCCCACAAAAGTGAGTGATCTCCTGCTGAATTATAGGTCAATAACTTTGGAAAGCAAATCTTCTGGCCCAAATCCCATACATACTATTTTCAGTTTTCAGTGATCTCATAGAAACCATATTTTTCTAGACATTTGATATTGATGACATCTGAAAAGACAAAAAAGAAAATCAAAGTTATTCAGTTCTGCAATTGAGCAATATTGTAAAATCTTAAAGTAAAAGGTTTTATACAAAAACACCATTGCATGCACATATGTTCTCTACATTTTAATAACCCTTTGATTTAAATTTAAATATTCTTTGTGATGCTGAAATTGAAATACCAACATTTGTAGCCCATTCCTTCCCATGGATTCTTATCTCTACTTTATTCTTCTATTTTGCTGGTAAGATAACTCTAATTCACATTTGTCCTGTCCATATAAACTGATTTTGGAAGAAATAATATTTCTCAGTATTTCATCTAAGCCTTTAAATAGAGGAGGCAGAAAAAGGAAAATTGCCCATGAATTGCTAGACATAAAAATTATTTTCATTGATTTTATTTATCTTTTTTTTTCTGAAGAAAAGGGGTTTTTTTTCCAGAAAAAAATATATAGAATGACCTTACACTTTCAGACAGGAATAAACAGTGGGTGATTTGGAACTTTACTATTGGAGTGATAGTCCACTCTTCATTTTCTAAAAAACCCATGGAACAGTTCTGAGAAAGCCACTTAGTTGTACCCAGAACACCTATATCAACCAAGTAAACTGCATTTTCTCTTCACAGCCCACTGTGTGCCCATGCTCAGTTTTTTCTGTCATCTTTTTCTGTAATCTTTTTGGACTTCAGCAAAGCTTTTGATACCGTCTCTCACAGGATCCTTCTGGACAAAATGTCCAGCGCACAGCTGGGTAAACACCACGTCATGTTGTGTCTGAGCAGCTGTCTCATGGGTCAGGCACAAAGGGTTGTAGTGAATGGGGTGACATCAGAGTGGTGACCTGTCACTGGTGGGGTATGCATGGATCCATCCTCAACACAGTGTTCTTCAACGTCTTCCTAAATTACTTGGACTCAGGACTGCAAGGAACACTATATAAGTTTGCTGATGACACTAAATTAGGAGGAGCTGTTGACTCCCTTGGGGCCAGGGGGATCCTGCAGGTTTTTGACAAAACAGAGAGCTGGGCAATCACTGAACATATGAAGCTTAACAAAGACAAGTACCAGATTCTGCAGTTGGAATGGGGCAACCTTGGTTGTGTATAGACTGGGGAATGAGGGGCTGGAAAGTGGCACTGTGGAAAGGAACCTGGGTGTCCTGGTCAATAGCCAATTGAATCTGAGTCAGCAGTGCTCTGGCAGCCAGGAGGAACAACCCTGTCCTGGGGGGCATCAGGCACAGCATGGCCAGCCAGGCAAGGGAGGGGATTGTCCTGCTCTGCTCTGAGCTGGGGCAGCCTCACCTTCAGTGCTGGGGGCAGTTTTGGATGACATGGTATAAAAAAGACATTAAGATCTCAGAAAACATCCAAAGGAAGGCCATGAAGATGGTGAAGGGCTTGAGGGGAAGCCATATGAGGAGCAGCTGAGCTCACTTGGTCTGTTCAGTCTAGAGAAGAGGAGACTGTTGGGAAACATTGTGGTCTTCAATGTCTTCATGAGAGGAAGAGGAGGGGCAGATAGTGATTTCTTCTCTCTCATGATCAGTGACAGAACTTGAGGAAATGTCATGAAGCTGAGTCAGGGGAGGTTTAGGCTCAGATATCAGAGAGAGGTTTTTCTCCGAGAGGGTGGTTGGGCACTGGAACAGCTCCCCAGGGAAGTGGTCACAGCACCAGCCTTATAGAGTTGAAGAAACATTTGGACAAACACTCTCAGGCACATGGTGTGACCCTTGGGGTGTCCTGCGCAGAGACAGGAGTTGCACTCAATGATCCTGATGGGTGGCTCCCAATTTAGCATATTCTGATTCTATAATTCTATGTTATTTTGTTTTTTTAATATAGCACAGGAGGTCTTTCATTCCCATAGGTCTTTTCTCCTTGGAATGAACATACCAAGGATGTTGTAAAATAATGTGGAACATATAGTCTCCACAATGCCAAATTAAGAATTAATTAAGAGATTCAAGAGGAAACTTAGTAAAGTTCATCCTCTTTGCAAAAATATTCTTTTCCCGAATCTCATGAATATGAAAATGTTTTTTGTAGTTTTGTAATTCAAGGTTTCAGTTTGGAGCAAACTGTGTGCTGTATAGTACATGCCATCTTGAGGCAGGAAAATGGTGATTCTTAATAACGTTGTCATTATCATCACGTTACAGATGGCAAGAAAGGAAATTGTTATAGAGTTCAATTCAATGGGAACTTTTAATAGGTTCCAGAAATTGAAGATTTAGGTCAAAGTTATTTATAGACTCTAAAAAGTATTTTAAGCTAATGGTTCTTATTCTGGCTTGTTAAGACAGTGGTTAGTTGCTATAAAGACAAGAATGGTCCTTAAAGTTTGCTTCTTGCCATTCCAGACCCATTTTAACATTTAAAGACCTGTTTTTAACATCAAATTGTTTAATACTAAAAATTATAATATATAAACCAATAATGACTAAGAAAATCGTACTTCCAATTGTTTTATTTTTCAATTTTGCATGTTGTCTGCACCAATGTGCAGCTAAATATTTTCTGATAACTTGTTGAATAAATAACATTTTGCAATGCTATTCACATTTGTAAAATTTTAATAAAGACATGTATTTTCTCCTACATTTTTGATTTCGAGAAAAAGCCTTTAGTACCCCAAGCCTCTTAGCTTTATACAACCTCATCAGCTAACTTGTGTTTTCAGTAGTATTTCTCCCTTTCTCTCCCCATCTTTGTCTCTCCAAGTCTTCCCTTTATTCTATATATTCTTAGCATATCAGAAGGGAGATTATAGCATATCTGCTCAGACAGAAGCTGTCCAAAATCACTAAAGACTAAAAGCCATGTCTTAATGTGATATTTAAATAAATTTTTAAAGGAAATTCCTCAAATTTTCACTGCATGTTTTTGCTATATCACAAAACTTTCTCTATGAAAGGAAGAGTGTTCTAATAAAGACCTCCTTTTGTACAGAGGAACATTGTCTTGGCTTACAGTAACTTGAATTTATTATCAAGTGGCTGGAAACAACTGAAGATTCAGGCTCTGCAATGCAATGCCACCTCTTCCTACATTTCCTTACTCTGTACAAGACAGTGTTCCTCATCCCTGATGTGGCAAACCTATGATCACAGCATTCACATCCCTAGTGAAAACCCATCATTGTCTTTCATCTATTCATGTCCTGATTGAAAAGACAAAACAGTCATTTTGAGTGGTTGAATAGCTGACAAACACAATTTTGAAAAGCCTGAGTAATTTGCGTGTTTTTGTGTGACCTCCTCTCATCAACCCATTCAGAAGTATTCTATTCCTGGTTCAAGAGATCCAGTATTATTTGGTAAGAGTAGACAATCACAGCCCTTTGTTTATTTGCTCCTTTTCTTTCCTGTTTCTTCTCATAGGTGTAATAAGAACAGCTTTGCCAAATATGGACAGAGAAGTGAAAGAACAATATCAAGTCCTAATCCAAGCCAAGGACATGGGAGGACAGCTGGGAGGACTAGCTGGTACTACCACTGTAAACATTACTCTCACGGATGTCAACGACAACCCACCCAGATTTCCTAAGAGTATGTAGTATTCCAAAGCACTGATTTTCAAATAAGCATGACTAAAAGTATTAATTTGGAAAAGTCCTGTAGATAAGAAACTGAGATCCTGGAAAAAGAAAAATATATGATGAAAAGAAAAATCAGATATGTTTTTTAAAAATAATGTAAAGCTCACTTTGAAAGTATGAGTTGAATGTCTAAGAGGATATATACCATCATTCCACAAAACCAGACTGAGCCTAAGAGTTCATTTCATTTACACTATAAAAATTATTTGGGAAATACTATTTTGTCAAGGGAAACTGTGTGAACCCCTTCAAATCATGAAAGATTATAACGGGAGACTTCCAGGTACCAAAGGCAGAGCTAGCTCATGCCAAGACTTACTGTTATGATATTTAGGAACAGATTTTTATATGTCTTGGCCCAGATTATATCTGTCCCTGAAAACACTTCCAGCCTCGAAACAGTGATCATTCACTGATAACTTATTATGGTTCATATCAGTTTAAATGCAGCTTTTCAGAAGTATGCTAATTTAAAGAGTTTTATAGTCTGTGTATGATTAGGAGGATTGTTGCTTATTTGTCTCCATAAATTTACTGAAGTTTGTATATTCCATACCTTCAAAATGCAGAAACTAATCAAGCATAAGTCTTGATAACTATGCCAAAATAATTAGGTACTAAAATTCGTTAGTAAAGAAAATTTGAATTAGAATATATTGCATGAATCTGCAGTAAGATCACAGCAGCTTTTTGCTTTGCTTCTCTTCCTTGCCCATGAATTGAAATCCCACTATATGTATTATGAATGCTCCATAGGTACAAAACCACATCTGCAACTGTGAAGTTTTCTCTCATACAAAAATTCCCCTTCTTTTATTCAGTCTGAAAATGTGCTGTGTTTTTGCAGGCATGTAAGAAAGATCATGTTATAAAAGGGTCCATTTGGTCTTTCCTTCCATCTCTTACACTCATGTCTAGATGGTTTCCATAAACTGGCCAAGCAATGCTTCATAAAACTTCCTTACTTTCTAATTATATTTAGTTCCAATGATGTCTTTGTATTTAACAACCCTCAATGTATTTTTCTTGTAGCAAGTTGCCCCATTGTTTTGAAACATTCATTAAATTTCAGAGTCCACATCCTCTGTCAGAGGTACACAGATTAATCATGTATCATACAACAAACAGCTTCCCCTCATTTGTTTGGAATCCATCTTTATATAATTGCCTGCATGTTAACCTCTTCAAAGAATTCAGAAAGTACTGCAAAATATCAGCTTTATTTAGAGAACCTGTTGATTTCTCTTTTTTTCAGTATGGGAAATTCTCTCTGAGTTGAGCAAATCTGCTCCTTCTGTTTTGCCTGTACATGTCAGTCATATCCATCCTTAGCTCCCCTGGACTCCCTGGAGAACTTTTGGGAAAAAAAAGTCAGTGTTATATTATACCTCCAAGCCTTCTTGTGCCACAGTGGTTTGAAGCAAAATATTGCACATCATAATAGTTCCCCTATTTCATTCTTCAGGCTCTTGGGCATGTAACAGCTAATCCAAATGATTTGTTACTGTTGTGTCTGTTTGTTCCACAACTGCTTCTGTAGCTAATTTAACCTTCTCCTGAGTCCCTCATGAAGTTCTAGGATAGAAAAAAATTCCAGTTTTTCTATACTAACAATAAAGAAAAAAGTGTAATAAGTTTTACATTTGTGATCTTATCTTCTCCGAGCACTTCTGTATCTCAGTTTTGGGCTGGCTTTACACAGTTCCTCTCAGGCTTTTGCTTCCAGATGTCTTAAAACACAATTATTATAAGCTTGTTTGCAGAGATTTATTCAAACTCATTTTTTGTCTTCTTTATTGCGGTTTTATAGATAAAACAGGTTTTATGGTTCTTTCTATTGTCCTCTCTGAGACACAACTTCATTTTTCTGAAAGATGTGTTCTTGCTTTTATTAGCTATGTTGTTTGCCCTTACAGATTTGCTTTTTAATGGATATATGCATTTGCTGTGGGTCTTCTAAATGATATCCCTAGATAGCATCCACACCACCCGTAGTGCTTTAACAGTCTCAGCTATCCCATTCAGAATTTCTATAGTAATATGCCTCAGTTTTATTTATTTCCACATTCTTCTTATTATTTATTTAACTGAATGCAACCTTCTTGTAATTCTGGTTTTTATTGCTCCTGCACAAATATTGCATTTAAACTAATTGTAATTGTTGTAAAATTAAGAATAACTAGGGAAGTTTTCCTGAATAGCTAATGTTAATACTATCCTCTTTTTTAAGTCCTAGTTGAGAAAGATTCCTTTCACAGCCATCATTATTCCCCACTGATAGTCTGCTGTGACTTCCCTGCGTATTTTGCTCCTTGATACTATACTGCCTGACTGATTTTCTTCTTTCCCACAGATAGTAAACACAGGTATAATGCTGATATTCTTGTTTAGCATTAGGCATAAAAGTTACCTATACAAGTTCCCATTTTAACCCTTGGCTTTATATTATGGCTTTCTTTCTCCTCTTTACTGGTCCCTAGTTTGATTCTGCATGAAGTACCACCTCAGCATTTCCTACTGAGTTATCATCTTTTGTAGCATCCTTCAGTGAAGAATGCAGATTTTTCATGACTTCACCCTTTGTCAGAACTGCATTTTTTTCTTAAATTTGTGCTTTCCAACACTTGAAAATTTTCCTAAACCTTTCTATAGGTATCACAATGATCTCAGAAAAGTTTTTAAACTTTCATAAGCCTATTTTTCTCATGGCTAAAATGAATTTTACATTTTTTCCTATCCTTTAACAAGTGCATCAACATTTCAAGATTGTGACTCACTTCTCCTCACCGCGTTTTCTCAGCCAGGCATTTAAAGCTCTGCCTTTCAATATTTTTCTCATGATTGTACCTGATGAGACTAGTTCAAATTATGCCACTATGAATGTCCTTATCTTCAGTTTTCATTTGCTAGCCCAAATTTCAGTCCTAAGACTTCTTTACTTCTTCAGACCTCACATGGCATCTTCTCTAGTTTCATGACATGCTCTCAAAGCACTTGTGGGATGCTCCAAACCTGATCAATAAGAAAATCATCCCAGAGGACCTCTTTGTATCATGATTCCTACTGTCTTCATCCTCAGTGCTTGTTAAACTGCCCACAATGGCAGTCTCTTCCTTCCTTTCACCTGGAACTCCTGCTGTTGGAAGGGTTCCCTGGGTGCAACAGGAAATAATGTAACTATCTGGAGACTGAAAACAGTACATTGGCAAGCTTCATGTGCCCAGTGCTCACTCCCATTCTGGTTTTCAGTTGTATATTTTTCTTCCTTTGCTGATAGGGGACCTTAGTATTTTATATTTTATTGTGTGCTTTCATCTACTGTGGTAGTGCAAAAGTGCACAAGTTTCACTTAAAGTCAGATGGTTTTCATGACACAGAGAAATCATGGAATATATCATCCGCTTTGAAGAAGATAGCCTCCAGGTCTCATTTAATGCATGAATTGCAGTTATGACATCTTTGCCCAATTTTTGCTAAGAAGGAACAAAAAAAATCGCACGCAAGAGAGCTTGTCCTGTGCTTTGCATGATAGTAAGGTTGAAAACCTTTTCTTTCTATTACAAATGTCACAAAAGACAAATTACAGCAGTGACTCTCAACAAAACAGAAGAGAATAAGATTGGAGGTTTGTGTTGATATTTAAAATAACAAATACTTAACATGGCTTACAAGATAAAATGTCAGTGTGGCGACTACAGTGTATTGGTCAAGCCTTTTTTTTTTTATGTGTTACATGCAAAAATCTCTATCAATGGGGATTATTTACTTAGCCCCATTCAGTTAAGCAGTATGTAAGATGATGTGTTGTGTGCCTGAAATTTACAGAGACACAAAGCTAATTACAGCTAAACTAAATAACTAAGTGGGCAAAAGTGGAGTATGAATTATATTTCGAACACAACAACTGTATTTTTCTTTTTTTTTTTTTTTTTCCTTGAAAGCATTGCAATGATTCGAGGTAATTATCTGCCAGGAAACGGAGTTTGCCATTTGCTTGACTACCATAGCTGAAAGGATACTTGTGCAGAATTTTAGTTTATGTGAAAAATAACCCTTTAAAATCCGGTCTGTGTAGATGCCAAGTTCAGTCCTGGAAAGAGGTCAGGACCCCTGGGTGTTGCTGGGGCTAAGACCTCCAGTACCCCATTGCTCTTCATTGGTCAACAAAGCCAGGCAGTGCAGACTGAAAAAAGGTCCTTTAACACAAACTGCTGCAGGGTCAATGTCATTGCTTCACATAATCAGGACCACAGTTTTGCAAAGGACCTATGCCAAAGAAGCTGTGCTATAGATCACCTAATCAAATAAGACAATATTAAATTTCACAGGATAAAGTTTAAATTTATTTTCAGAACTTAGTGAAGCTGGAGAAAAAAAAATTCACAGCAGAAGTAGGAGGACATATATTATTAATATTTCGAAGGAGCTACATTTATAAATAATACATTACAAGCTTGCAAAAAAAGGTATCACGAAACACCTTCATCTCACTGAGGGTCCTTTAAGGAGACAGGCAGGTTTGGATGGGTTATCAGCATCCAGTGATGAAAAAACTATCAGTGATGACTAACCTGCTGAACATGGAATTTTTTATTTAGAACCTGTGCTTTTGAACCTATTCAGTGGGGAACTCCCACCTTGCATGTCTCCTAATAATGAGGAGTATGACAGAGAGGAAATCTCTAAACATATATTTCTGTCAGAGTTGTTTGACCTGCAGGTATCTATTGGCCCACATTTCAGAAAACTGACACTTCAGTAAATGGATATTTTCTTTAAAACTGGTAGGAAAAAATTAATCTGAATGATCTTATTAGTAAAAATTTATTTCCAGAAGTGTTTTCTGTCTTCCCTGGCTCTTCATTAGTACAGCAGCTTTCTGCATTGCTGTGCATGTTCCATTGTTAAAGATAGATCTTTATTATAAATATTTAAATAATTTCATACCAA